GTGCTGATCCGAAAAATAAATCAGGGAAAGATTAAAGGCAGTGCTCACCCTAAGGTGAGTTGCCTCACTGCCCATCACATCATATGGTTATAGTATGGAGAAGAGGGATGTCCTGGGCTTCTTTTGGTGACTCCTGTTAATAGGGATTAACACCATTATGGGATTTTCTAACAAGAATTAAGGTGGTAAGGAAATAATTTTGAGAAGGAAGGGATGGTGTAAGTTTTAAGAATGCAGAGTTCTTGGCTGCTCTCTTTATTGCTGCCAATGGTGTTATGAAAGACAAGGAAAGAGAAATTTTTATTTGGAATATCTGGGGGATACCAAGATTTTATTGACCAGTCAATAGAGGCAAGAAGAATGGGAGAAGTAACCTTATCTATATGTTTTAAATTATACTCAGTAGTATACTTAGATTTTCACTGACATTCCATTGATGATCACCTCTGATGAGCTCTTCAATTGAGACCACATAAAATAATATATTAATAAATAAATGTCTCTCCTTACTATTTTACTTAAAGTAAAAAATTGCCTTTAGTACATGGAATTTTCTCCTTTAGGCTAACCTTTTCTAGGCTTATTCTTTCCCTCGGCAACTCTACCAATTTGTCATGACACAAAAAAGCGACCTTCTCCCTCCCTCATGTTGATCCTGTTATTTCCTCTACTTAAACCTTGCGGTAAGCTTTTGCCATTCTAGAGAATAATTCTAATATTCCATTCAGAGAATCAGAGACCCTCACCTTCATGGTCCATATAACTTCAATTCTCTCATTTTTTTGTTCATATCTGCCTTTGGTTTCCTGGTAGATAGCCTTGTTTTATTAATTATGACATTTCTTGAACTGAATTTTCTCCAAAAATATATTTTATATCTATAATACTCTGGGAGATAAAATGTGTTCTATGCCCTTGTGGAGATTTTTAATATACAATCATATATTAATAACTTAGGATAGGTATACATAAATAAATATATTTAATATTGTTAAACTAAAAGTTTTCTTTAATTATTTAATCTGGGGTCCACTGCCTTCAATTTCTCAATACTTATTAAAAGTTCATGGCAATATTATTCTTTAGAAAACATTTAGAAAAAAAATTCCAACCTATAAGTAATTATATTTGTTACCTAGATACCTACTTATGGCTTATATGGTTTCTAGACTGAAAATTATATTAAACTTGGCACAGGAGAGCTAAACATTCTATGCACTTTCTAATTAAAAAAAAAAAGCTGCTGAAGCTTGGCAATAGGTACAATTATGTAAATATTTCATTATCTAGTCATGTCTTGATTTAGCATTTTGGTTTTACCTAGTAAGAGTCTCCAATGTACTTGGTTATACCTAAATGAGTATTTCTCTGTGGAACATATTAGGAAGGCAGCATCATGATTGTGATTCTCAAATTGTTGCATGCATCAGAATCACCTAGAGGGCTTGTTAAATACAGAATGTTGGGCCCCACTCCCAGAGTCTCTGACTTAGTAGGACGGGGATGGAGCCCAAGAAATTATATTTATAACAAGTTCCCAAGTGTTGTTAGTGCCAGTGGTATAGAAACTGAATATTGAGAATCACTATCTTAATATGATAACATAGAAAGTCATTCATTAGATGCTGGTAAAATTCTTAAAATATATCCAGGAGTCATTGAGAAGAAAATTAAGTCCATTCAGTATAATTTTTGTCTAATTTTCAACTTCTCTGGCCTTTTCTTCTCAATATCTCAGGGGGATTCAATTGCCTCTTCTGTCAAAGTCAGAGTCCCAAAGGAAACAGAGGTCATATTCAAAATACGATAGTCAAGGAAGGTATAAGTAACTAGTTCCGAAGGTATGGTATTAGTACTACAACCTGGAGCTTAGTAGTAGTCGAGCTATTAACACCTTAGGCATAAAAGAATAAAGAGATGCAGGGGATATTGGAACTTGGAGAAAGAGAGTTGCTTAGAAGCTCAGTCACCTTCCTTCAAAAAACACAAGCAGCACAAGGTAGCTTTATAGGCAAGCATCTAATCCCTCCTTCTGACCTTCTACAGAGATTCTCAATGGCCAAATCCAAAAATAAGTTACTAGTTATGGAAACCCATGGAGGTGGTTGATATTCTCTACCTACTAGAGCAGAGCTTGACATAAAAGAATGCATTCACCAAATCAGTGGCTCAGTACCACTTGCTCACACCTGTGTTAATTTTCTCTAATAAATATACCACACTCAATGGGGCTACTACTGTTTGTAGTAATCCACTGCTACCCAGTTTTGGTAAGGGCCAGGCTGGTGGATTATATGGTAATATGATGAAGGCAACTATTCCTATATCCTTTAATTATTTCAGTATGACAACAATCACTGTTATTCCCATAAGGATGTAGTATTGTTTGTAATTTACCATCTTGGGAGAGAATAATTTTCAGAGCTTCCACTCAGCCTGTATCACTATGATAGTTCTTATACTATATGTCAAGAAACCAGTATAAAAATTTTGCCAACTACAAGTGTATTATTTAAAATTATTTATTCGGTGATTGGGAAAATGATCAGCAGGTGGAACTGTAAAGCCTGAAGACCACTCTGAGCTGGATTTGAGCCAGGACATCATTTATTACCTGTCTTGCATATAGACACAGGATATGAGGGTGCTTTTGATTCTTAATTCCCCGTGTCTTAGAATTGTTTGGGCATTTATCTTTTTCCATAGGATAAATATCTGGCTAAATGGCCAAATACCCTATTTGGGAAGGTGTGGAGGAAACATTACTAGATATTACTGCACAGTAATCCCTTCTGAATAGCTGGCTCCTTTCTCAGTCAGGAAGTTTAAAGTCTATGAAATGACTTACATAAAGAAACTGGGCAATACACAATTATTCAGGTGGCTGTCCTCAGCCTCCATATTTTCTTTGATTTTTTTTTTATTGTATAAATTAAGCAATATATATTTTTTCGCTATCCATCTTGCCCTTGGATCACTGTGCTATTAACCATCTTCATAGCTCTTTTTGGGTCTGGGCCCCCTGACTGTTAAAAATCTGTCCTGTGGCTTTGCAAATTAAACTACTCTATAAAAGTAAAAGTGTACTTGAGGATAGATTATTATCTTCAGATGCTTTCAGTCAAAGATGCTCACAAATATGTGTAGTGAAAGTTCCCATTAGAAATTCTCATATGGAACAAACTTTGATGTGGCTTTAAATCTGTGGTATGAACTTAAGTGTACTAAATATGTCCAAACACTTTCAGGGGATCTATTGGCTTGATTATATAGTGAATTAAGTTGACAGAGTCCATGTTTTAGATGTAGACTGAACCCAAGACTAATAAGAAAATGAATTCGCTTTTCTCATCATGTGTTTTTAATTTTTTTTCAGATGATTAAAAAATAATATAGGTAAAAAATTGTTCCTTAGAAATTTTCTCTTTAAACACAAAAGATACCAATAATTGTAAAAAAACACCACATACTTCTAAATTGAATGTACCTCACAGTAGATATAATGAGAAAAAGTCAGAGAATATATTTTAAGAGAGGAAAGATGGCCTACGTGCATGATTTCTGGATAAACTGAAAGTTTTTGTCACTGCTTTGCAGTAAATAGTTCTGTGATCTTGAGAAACTCCCTGCTCATTTTGAATGTCAGTTTCCTCAACTGAACAAAAGGGCAAGATTAGATGTTTTTTTTTCTTGTTACTTTGTGGTGTTGCTCTCTAAGTAGCAGCCATATGGCAGAGTGCACACATGCTTGGATGAACACTGGAATCAACAAACAAAAGCAAAACAAAAATAGATTTGATCTGGGCTCCACCACTAAATAGCTGTATGCTAAATAATTTACTTCATTTCTCTAAGCCTCTGTTTCCTCATCTGGAAAATGTGAATAATAAGTACAAGGACAAAATACAATAACACACCTGGCATGGTGCCTAACACAGAAAATGCTCTGTGAGAAGAAACTGCTATCTAGTGCAGTAGTTCAGAGTTCTGACTCTAGAGCCCTAATTCCAGGTTCATATTCTGGCTCTGCTAATTACCATCTGTATGACTGTAGGCAAAAACTTAATGTTTATATAACTCACTTTCCTTTCCTACAAAATACTGTTTTATGAGGTAATCACATAAAACATTAAACATAGTCTCTGGCAAATAGTAGCTATCAGTAAATGCTAGTTGCCATTATCATTAACTCTTAGATTTGTTAGTGAACATAATTCATTAGACTTTTTGAGGCTTTAACACTCATACACATTATAGTAAGCGATTTTCTTGGCCATCCTGACATATTTTAACCTCTTCTAGGAAGCTATAAATAATTACTGGTTAAATGAATTATTTAAAGCAACTGGCTGGGAAGACAACCAAATACTGAGCCAGTTATGTAAGGAGTGAGTGCAATGGATTCCCTCTCTCCAGGCTCTGCTGCCAGCGCATATGTGTAGCCAGAAGGCACACGTGCTCCTTGTGCTTTCAGCACCCATAACATTGTCCTCACTGAGACCCACTCAGGCATCATTACCTGAGCACTGTCTTCCTGAACACAACATCTCTTTGAATCCATCTTTTTAAATTTTTTAAAAAAATATGCATACTATTAATGTTAAATGTGACAAAGTGTATTGCATCTTTGCTTAGAAACAGGCATTGAATGATAGGAGCAGTATATATGTTTCCCAGATGCTTTTCAGTGCTTTTCTTCTATTTGATATTCAACTCCACTTACTTTTCTTTACGATGTGTATCATGAGCTTGAAGGGATCCTTCGCTGGCTAGTATGTCTTTCTGAAAAATGTACTATTGCTTCGAGACTTGCTGCTGCTGTTGCTGCTGGGTGCAGTACTCAGCAATGACCACAAGCTATAGGAAACCAGAAAGCAAAAAATATACAGTGATAGGAAGAGACTTGGAGGGTAATTGGAACACCCAGGCTTAAGATTCAGTTCTGTTTAACAACTTGTACAGATCTCTTTTTACCATACACTAATCATTCCCTGAATCCGGAAAAGTTGTTATAGAACACTTCACGAATATGCATGTCATCCTTGCACAGGGGCATGTTAATCTCTGTATTGTTCCAATTTTAGTTTATGTGCTGCCGAAGCAAGCACTGGAAAAGTTTTCTAAAACTTTTTTTCAATTGTGCCTTTTTTTAAATTTACCAAATGAGAACAAGCATAGCAATTATATGTGGTAAACAAAATTTTGGGATAATAAAGTAAGATATATGTGGCATTGCTTTGGAAAAGTTAAAAGTACCGAAAAAGCCTGTTGTAATTTATCTAACCAGAAGATTTCTTAGAAGAAGAAGGCTAAAATAGAATCCTCAGAACTAGCCGAGGCAAATATAGGTGTTGCCTTGTTGCAGCAATGCAACTCCTTCAGTGCTAGTAAGCATGAGAAACCACCACAAGGGAGAAGGGTGGTGACTTTGGCACGGGAGAGACCTGGGTTTAAATCTGTTTTTTATTCAGAACATTAGTAACCTTTAACAAATTTCTTAATCTCTTTAATGTTAAATTCCTCATCTGTGAAATGGAGAAATTAATTGCAATCTCTCAGTTTTACATTGAGGATTAAATTAATTTATGCTTAACACAATGCTTGCCATATTATAAATATTCAAAATGGTAGTATTGTTAGAATCAAAATGATAGCATTTTATTCATTGGTGTTGCAAATAAGGGGATGAAAAATAATTTTTTTTCTATGAACATATTAAACCACAGAATCATGGATGTCATCAGTTAAAGAACCCCGAGAGATCACCTAGTCTACTCCATATTCAGGCACAGAGGTATTTGTATTTCCAGCTGGTGTATGAAGCAACTGAGGCCTGAACGTGGTGTGACTTGGTCCCATAACTAACTGTAGGTAGTAAAGGGAGACTTGATTCCAAATCTCTTGTCTTTTAATGTAATGTTTTATTCGTTTATTGGTGCTATTTTTGTTATGTAAATGAGTTATTACTTTGCTGATAGGAAATGTTGGTAGCATATAATGGTTTGATGTTGAGAAGTTACTACAATAATTTCTTAATGTGCCAGTCAAGTATTACTTCTTATTTTTGCTCTACAAATGGAATAGTATTTCTGTGTCCCAAATCAGAGTGGTGCCATTTGACGATGCTATTCTAGCATTGTTAATCCTTGTGGACTTTAGCTATTGCCTCTTCCCTAACTGAACAGAAACCCTCTAAGTAGTTTCAAATATCATTGGACCAATTTCCCTTCTCTCACTCAGGAAACAAAGTACTGTAACATGATATCAAGGATCCATGGCTCTTATTTATGTGAATTTAAAAACAAGGTTTTAGCTATAAATGGATTTAAAAGTTGGCAGTTTTATAGGAAGATTACTAATTCTTTTCTAGCTTAAATTCTAGTTTGAACAGTATACTCTGTCTCATTTAGCTGAACTTGAGTGATTGAGGAAAATTACTTTATGCTATTGCAATAAACTGTTAAAAAGCCCACATGAAAAAATTACTATATGCACTTTCAGATTTGTAAAATTGAGTGGGATCTTTACCTGAAAGTAGTTTTCTTCCAAGGTGGTGATGTTATGATTGTATTTTATCTACTGACAAAGGCCTTTATGTGCTGATAATAGATTGAATATTTTAACATTAAACTCAGATAATAATAGAACTACTAGTTCGGTGACTAGCAACCTTTCAAATATTATTAACGTTAGTAAGATTTTATTATTTTGGATTACTAGTTAGCCTTTTTTATGGAAAATTGATAGAACGAAATGTTAAACATTTTCTTGGCATGAGATCACGTTAAAAAATATTTTCGAACTTATTCCTGAGTGGTCATTAAAATCCTTTCCTCTACCTGCTGAAGAATGAATACATTTAATCACTTGCTTTGTTTTGTATTGGAAATATCCTCTTTTCCATTTTACAATCCTTTGATCACTTTTACTTTCCTGGAAAGGTTTCAGCATAATTGAACATTTTATGATGATAATTATTTACCGCTGACTTATCTGGACTCTCTCTTGTGTAATTACTCTGCACATATGCTTGGTTGGATGGTCCACTGAAGGTAAGTTTTATCTGTCCACTTACCTTCTATAAAGATGAAAACATGATCTAATCAGCCATGGTATTCAGAAATGGCATCTGCTCCATTGCCAAGTTCTTTATCAATGAGTCATCAGAATTCCACTTAAAAAATTGTATGATACACTTCAGATTTTTTCAGAAGAATGTCATTTTCCATGGCTAAAATAAAGATATGACAAAAGAAATAAGGTTTATCTTCTATAATGGAA